CTCTCTCTCTCTCTCTCTCTCTCTCTCTCTCTCTCTCTCACTCTCACGATTACGCTGACAGCGCATACCTCTCTCTCTCTTTCTCTCTACACAGTCACCGATGCCGGGACAGAAGTTGTTCAGTAAGCCGATGATGATGGTGATGGACGACGACAAGAAGACGTACCGCGAGCATCGACGGGTCTGCCACATCAATGCCGAGCAGAAACGTCGCTGCAACATAAAGGTACGTGCTCGCCGCGGTTACCGTGGTTACCGTGGTTACCACGGTTACTGTGGTTACCGCGGTTACTATGGTTACCACGGGTACTGTGGTTACTGTGGTTACTGTGGTTACCACGGGTACTGTGGTTACCGCGGTTACTATGGTTACCACGGGTACTGTGGTTACCGTTGTTACTATGGTTACAGCGTTTACTATGGTTACCGCGGTTACTAAGGTTAGCACGCAGGACGGCGTCTAGCGCGATGCGTTCACACGTGGCCGTTTAGGATAGCTGTTCTATTGTCGTCTGATCCTTGGCATCGCATTGCGAGTAAATCTGCCACGGGGCGTGCCAACGATGGCTGCTCTTTTGTCTGCAGCGCTGGGTAGTGGATGTTCTCTTGTCTAAATCGCCGCGTAACAGCTGTTCTCTTGTCTACATCGCTGCATAACGGCTATTCAATCATCTGCATCGCCGCGTAACAGCTGTTCTCTTGTTGTCGTCGTCGTCATTTCAGAGCGGGTTCGACACGCTGCATCAGATCATACCCGCGCTGCGATCCAGCAACGTAGCGAAGGCCAGCAAGGCGAACATGCTGCAGAAAGCCGTGGACTACACGCGACAGCTGAAGGCAGAGAGACAGCAGATGCAGGAGGAGGCCGAGCAGCTGAGACAGCAGAAAGACGTGCTAGAGGGAGACATCAAGTATGTGAGGAGGAGGGGGAGAAGGAGGGAGAAGGAGGGAGAGGGACTGAGGTAGCAGAGAGACGTGCTAGAGGGAGACATCAAGTATGTGAGGAGGAGGGGGAGAAGGAGGGGGAGGGATGGTGTAGGTTTGCGGTGGATCCGTGGTGGTGTTCAGTTTAAAATTATGTGGATGCTTATGTTCCAATGTCACCATGGTTACAGAAGCACTTACATTATCGTATCACCGTGGTTACAGAGATGCTCACATTATCGTGTTGCCATGGTCACAAAGATGCTTACATTATCGTGTTGCCGTGGTTACAGTGATGCTTACATTATCGTGTTGCCGTGGTTACAGAGATGCTCAGTAAGATGGAGTGGGTGAACAGCCCGATGAGCGATGACATGATGCTGCACCAGATGCTGTCGCACGGCTGCGGCGGCAGCATGGGACAGCGCGGCAGCGACCCGTCCCTCGACGTCTCCTGCGTCATGGCGGCGACGATGGAGGAAGAGGGCGCCACCTGCTCCTCCCTCGGCGTCGCCCCGTTCGCCGACGACTCGGCGCTGGGGATTTACGACGACTGCGGCGCCGACTCTGCGTCCTTCGCGCGCCGCGCCGCCGCCGCCTACGACGCCGCGTACGCGCTGTCGACGAAACCCGGGTCGCCGGTGGCGATGGGAACGACGATGATGCCGCCGCCGGCTCCCAGGCTCGACGACGACGACGACGCGCCGCTTTTCCGGCAGCAGGGGTCGCCGGCGTTCACCGTCGACACGTCGTTCGCCAGGAGGCGCTACTCGGGGCCGTCCGGGTACCCCGCGTGCTCGCCGTCGGACGCGGTGAGTGGTGGCGCCCTCGCGTGGAGAGAGCGGCGCGCCTATAGATTGTGGGTGTCTCACTAGGCGCCTCTTGTTTTGTGAGATTTTCTCTGCCCAGTGTTCCAGCAAAACTTTGCCTACGCACAGCGGGGAAATAGTTTCGGAATTTAGAATATATATGTTAATTTTTCATTATAACTACTATACTATACTATAGACTTATATATTGTCAGTGTAGTTATTAATTAATTATTATTAAGTATAAGATTCCGGAATTCTATATTGAGATGACAAACTCGCGGCACTCCCGTAGAAATAATTTCTGTGAGAGGGTGGAATATTTAATGCGGTTTGCCTCTCTTTACAGCTCGATAAATCCGTTCCATCACCGCTGGACCAGCCAGTGAGCATGGATCAGCAGCCGAGTCTTGACCAGCCGGTGAGCATGGACCAGCAAGCTAGCATCCCTCAGCAGGGAAGCATCTCTAGCATACCTCAGCATGGAAGTATTCTGCAGCAGGCAAGCATTTCTGCCATCCCTCAACAGGCGGGCATTGGTGCCATCCCACAACAGGCGGGCATTGGTGCCATTCCTCAACAGGGAAGTATTGCTAGTCTTTTTCGCCAGGGGAAACACTGTATGTCTTGCTTCGTCTGTTATGTCTGATCGATGTTTGCTCGCTCTTTGCCCTGTCGAAAAATGCGGACGGAACGAGGAATTTTCTACGTTGTACGTTTCGTACTCCCTTCCACGATCGCAGATGTTATCATATATCCAGATGCTAGGCGTTCGATTCGTATTTATAGCACAAGGGGGTGGAGGGGGTGAAATTAACACCCGGTCAGGGGTAGAAATTAACTTTTGAACACGGGAGCCCAACGGACTCCCTACCCTCAAAAAGAGGGAGTGCGCAGCAAAATGAGGGAGTCCGCAGAGGTTCAAAACTAAAGATACTAACAATAACGCATGTGCTTATTTTTAAGATTCATGCGGTTGCACGTCTGCAAAATTTTCTTTGGACATTAGCTGAAAAAATATGGTAATTCCGCGAGGCCATGCTCTGGAACGAACTAGTTAGTATGACAGAATTTTCATGGAGTCACACGGACTCCTGCATAGGTTTTAAATCAGGGAGTCCGACAGTAAATCAGGGAGTGTTTGACTACTGACTCGTGTTAATTTCGCACCCTGGCCTGTTTTACTGTTACCTGTGCTCCCTTACCAGTACCCTGGTCTATGTCCCCCAGGGTACTGCCGGAACGTACCCTGGTAACTATCTGATATGGTTAGGGTTAGGGTTCGGGTTAGGGTTAGGGAGTAGGTGTAGGCGACTCTCTAGACTCGTTAGTGGAGTAGGCGAGGTACGGTCCGGCATATTAGATAGTACCAGCAGAGCATATAAATCACGTTGATGGTACCAGGGTACGTTTCGGTATACCGGACCGTACCCAGGGTACGTTCCGGCAGTACCCAGGGGGACATAGACCCTCTCAGTGTTATCTGTCAAAATCGCGTCAGTATGTGCCCATCATGCAATTCCCCGACAATCCCTACACGTATTTGGATATCTAGATATAGGTAGGTCCCGTTTTACGATGGTCTATTTTACGACTTTTCTCATTAACGACCTTTTCAAAATTACCTAAAAAAAATGAAAATAACAAAAAACTCGCAACTCAATAACACGTCGCATCAACGCCTGTGTGTCCAAACACGCAATATGCACTTCTTTTGTTTTTCGTGGTGCATTGTGGGTGGAATGATAGCATTTAATTGCATTATAATTTGGTCTTGTTTTACAACTTTTAATTTTCTTTTCAACTTTACCGAAACCTAACCCTGTCATAAAACGGGACCTACCTGTATGGTGAGTGCATTACTGAGTTTAGTGTGTTCTGTTGTAATATACAGAATGTGGCACTGTGATTCATGTTGCTACAACGGTTAATTTAGGTGGGGAAAAAATGTAAAAGAATTTCAATTCAAAGAAAATTCATTCCATCCATAAATAAAAAATAAAACAAAAAAATGAAATTTTACCCATTTTTAAAAAATTCCTGCCCGTAGGTGGAGTCGCACGCTGAACTGCTGGAGCGGGTCGGACGCACGAACTGGTCATGGCCGCAGAACTGCGCCGCGTGGAACGAGAAGCGGCAGACGAAGGCGTTTGCATCCGCCGTCACGGCAACGCAAGCGGCGAATTTATTCATGGACGATGACCTCATGGATTTCACGGATACGCTCTTCACGAGTCTGAACCAGCCGTACCCATTCCCCAACTCCCGCGAGATCAACGGTACTGTTCACTTGTCTGTAGTGTTCACTTGTCTCGACCAGCCGTAGCAGTTGCGGAAAACCTAATGTGGCGTTTGATTCGTTCTTCGTCCCCCGGCATTTGCAATACAGACACGTTCTCACCGACTTTTCACCCCCGTGATGTCATCACCGTGGCATCATTCAGACACGTTCTTGTGTTTTTAGCGTGGGCGAACAACGCTGACATCATCCAGCCTGGTCTCGTGCAGCTGCAGCCGAACCTGGACGACTTGATGGACTTTGAACCGCTGCAAGGTAAAGCAGCATTCCTTGTTCTTCTGTTGTGGTGGGTGGTGGTGGGTGCGGGGGGAGGGGGTGACAGGGATAGGGTCGTGAGGAGGGTGGAGGGGTGACAGGAATATGGGCCGCGTGAGGAGGGGGGAGTGGGTTGGATGATTTCGGGTGATATTGGGGGGGTTTGGTGTGGTGGTGGTGGGTGCGGGTGGAGGGGTGACAGGGATATGGCCGTGAAGGATTGGTGGGAGTGGTGGATGATTCGTGTAGGGTTGTTGGTGGGTGGTGGTTGGGTGCGGGGGGACGGGTGACAGGGATATATGGGTCGTGAGGAGGGTGAGTGGGTGGTATGATTGCGGGTGTTCGGTTGTGTGGTGGTGTGGTGCAGGGGAGGGCGTGACAGGGATAGGGTCGTGAGGAGGGTGGGAGTGGCGGTGGATGATTTCGGGTGTAGGTTTGTGGTGGGTGGTGGTGGGTGCGGGGGAGGTGGTGACAGGATAGGGCCGGAGGAGGGTGAGTGGGGTGATGATTCGGTGTAGGTTTGTGGTGGTGTGGTGGTGCAGGGGAGGGGGTGCCAGGGATATGGCCGTGAGCAGGGCTGGGAGTGGGTGGATGTATTCGGTGTAGGTTTGTGGGGGAGTGGTGGTGGGCTGCGGGGGAGGGGGTGACAGGATAAGGGCCGTGAGAGGGTGAGTGGGTGAGATGACTTCGGGTGTATGGTTTGTGGTGGGTGGTGTGGTGCGGGGGAGGGTGACAGGCAGGCCGTGAGGAGGTGAGTGGGTGATGCATTCGGTGTAGGTCGTGTGGGTTGGTGGTGGGTGGCGGGGGGAGGGGGTGATCAGGGATAGGGCCGTGAGGAGGGTGAGTGGGTGGATGATTCGGGTGTAGGTTCGTGTGGGTGGTGGCTGGGTGCGGGAAGGGGTGGCCACAGGGATATGGTGCCGTGAGGAGGTGAGTGGGTGGATGATTCGGGTGTAGGTCGTGGTGGGTGGTGGTGGGTGCGGGGGGAGGGGGGGCGTGAACAGGATAGGGCGTGAGGAGGGTGAGTGGGTGGATGATCGGTGTAGGTTTTGCGTGATCCGTGTGTGTTCAGTTTAAAATGATGTGGATGCTTAATGTTCCAATGTCCACCATGGTACATGAAGCACTTCATTTATGACGTATCACATCGGTTACAGAGATGCTTACTATTATCGTGTTGCTGGTGTACATGAGATCTTACATCATCGGTTGCCGTGGTTACAGAGATGCTCCAGTAAGATTGAGGGGTGAAACAGCCGATGACGCCGACATGAATGCTTACATTTATTCCGTTGCCATGGGTTACAGTGTGCTTACATTATCGTGTGCCGTGGTTACTGAGAAGATGCTCAGCTAAGATGGAGTGGGGTGAACCAGCCCGATGATCGACGACATGAATGCTGACCAGATGGCTGTCGCACGGCTGCCGGGCGGCAGCATGGGTACAGCGCGGCAGCGACCCGTCCCTCGCGTCTTCCTGCGTCATGGCGCGCGGACGATGGAGGAAGAGGGCGCGCAACCTGCTGCCTCCTCTCGCGTCGCCCCGTTTCGCCGACGGACTCGGCGCTGGGAATTTACGACGACTGCGGCGGCCGACTCTGCGTCTTTCGCCAGCGCCGCGCGCCGCCCTACGAGCCGCGTACCGCGCTGTCGACGAAACCCGGGTCGCCGGGTGGCGATGGGAAGACGATGATGGCGCCGCCGGCTCCCGGCTCGACGACGACTGACGACGCGCCGCTTTTTTCCGGCAGCAGGGTCGCCGGCGTTTCACACGTCGACAACGTCGTTCGCGCAGGAGGCGCTACCGGCCAGTCCGGTACGCCCGCGGTGCTCTGCCGTCGACGCGGTGAGTGGTGGCGCCCTCGCGGTCGGAGCAGGAGCGGCGCACCTATAGAATTGTGGGTGTCTCACCTAGGCGCCTCTTGTTTTGTGAGATTTTCTCTACCCAGTGTTCCAGCAAAAAACTTTGCCTATCGCACAGCGGGGAAATAGTTTCGGAATTTAGAA